TCAGAATCTACCTTTTTCGATGGGACTTGGACTGTTGAGTGTTTGTTAGGACTAGACACTAAGACTGCGTCAAGATCCAATTACCCCCCAGTGGACCTGGACAATGCCTTTGAGATCTCAGTGAACTGCTGGCTCTAATTCATTCGTACAAACACTCTGTTTCTGTGTTTCTTGTTCTGTCTCCATGTTCTGCAGTTTGCAATGTGTCAAGTGAGAATTAACATTTAAGGAGCTGTACGAGGACATTAATTGCCCTACAGCTGCAGCAGAATTCAAAACTGTATGGAAGTCCGGTATTGTTAGCACGTTGGAGAAGGATAACCAGGATCTCATCGATTATCTACGAAAGCATACTCAGATGCCTAGCTTTCAATTTTACCAGTTGTGGATGATTTACGACAATCTTTTCTGCATGGTAAGTATTGAAAAAGTAATTCGTGAACATGGTAGAGTATATTCTTAGCTGCAACACAACGACACACATAAATGGCCTGAGTGGATGAATGCTACCTTATTCAGCCGTTTGCAAACATTGTACGATGCTTCCTCTCGGATGAAGTATCATACGGAGATTTTGCGTCGTCTGCGAGGAGGTAAGATTTTTGTGTATTTTCTTGTCACAAGTGGGATAACATTTTTGGAATTCAGTGAAATAATTCTTCTCCAGGTCCTTTGCTCAAAGACATTATTGATCGCTTCGTTGCAAAAAGGAATGGAGTCTTGGGTGAAAAGCCAAAGCTTTATGCGTATTCAGCGGTGAGTCATTCTAAATCGATTCTTATACGAACAATAGATGTCCCTGTATTCGAAGTAACACTAAAATTAGGAAGGCCTTTTAGGTTTTTAGATTTTTTTTTTGACTTTTTATTCGAGGGGGGAGGGGACACTTGTTATTTTAATCCCGTTGTTATTATTCATTCAACATTTGTTCTTTCAAAAGCCTTTTTCATTTTGTAAATTCTTCTGGTATGTAGACTCAATGGTATTTGTTTACAAATTTTGTTTAGCGATTTTACCTTTGCAGCATGACACTACTCTCGCTGCTATGCTGTCCACGTTAGGTATATATCCGGAAGATTTTCCAAAATATGCAACCGCGGTGTTGTTGGAGCTTCACAAAAGGGATGGAGAGTTTGTTGTGGAGGTATGCAATTTTAATTGAAAGAAATTTTCTCCGGTTCTTCTATTCGAATGTTGCAAGGTTCCCCTTGGGCGAATGTGGATAGGAGCGGGTTTGTGCCTCGCCGTAGTCTTTTGAGTTGTAGAAATGTGGATAAATACTATTTGTGTCAAAAGCACACTCGTATGATCAAGCAGAATAGCTGTGTAGGGGAGAACGTTCCGTGGAGAGGAGGCAGCGATGAGTTTACTGAAAATGTGCTGCATTCAGTTTTAACCATTCTTCTTACAGTGTTCTAACTGTATAGGAATCCCTCTGCGCAAAAAATTTTGTAGGCTTCCCATTTGAAAACCAGCCAAAATCTTTGAATTAGTTCGCGTTCATCCCTCCACTTTTCTTCTCCCGCCCCCTTCTATCGGTCTGACTCGTGATACTTCAATGACACTGTCTTGAAAGATTACGCCACGTTACGCCCGTTACGCCAAAACCATGGGAATTGCAGCGCACAAATTAGACAAATATTAACT